TCTGATCAATTTCCTCCTCTTCATATTCAGATATTTCTGAATTTAGCCATTTTCTTGTAGCTGCTTGAGTTTTTGATAGAATGTCTATTAAGTATTTAATTCCTGTCTCAGTTGAGAATAAGAATCTCATATTTAATTGATTTAGATTATACTTCTCTTTCAATCTGACTCTGAGACTATTGTATAATACATAGTGTATTACAATATACTCAGGATTCTCATTTACATTGCAGAATGAGCATTCTATTGAATCAAATCTATCATCAAATCTTTGTATATAAGATTTGAAATAGCCATGTGCTCATTTCAGCTGTATTATAGATGAGAATATTTTCTTTTTACATTTAATTAAACAAGATTTCTGCTTGAGTTTTATTTCAAATCTTGAATAATGTATACTCTTCTTTTGTTTCTGCCAGCTTTCATTTCACTTGTCTAAACAAGATTCTTTTATCTTTCTCTTTATAAAAGACCAGAACATAATTTTTTGAATAGATCTGCTTAATTCTGAACTCTTTTTTGCAGCTGAATCAGACAATTCATTGCTATAAATATTTATATAAGCAGGAACTCAGTGCAGATAAATTATCAGCTTAAATATTCTTCTCTTTTGAATTTTCAAAACAGAGTTTAAGATCAGTTCAAGATTCATTTGATCATTATAAATCTGACTATTTCTAAGTCTTTTTAAAGCAGCTTAACTATCAGAGAATATTGATGCCTCTTTCAAACTATTTCCTCTTTTATAAGATTTTATTTCAATAAGAGTGAAAGCTTTCGCTATTATAAATAGTTCAGTGTCAAAGACTTCAGATTCACAGTCTAAATTTCAGAAATCTGAGATAAAATTAATATTATCTTCAGTATAAGCAATGTCTGCATTTAATCTATTCAAATTCTCATTTTTTAAGTCATCTGAATAAATCAGAATAGAGTCTTTTATATTAATTGTAGAAAATCTCTTCAAATGCTGTTCATATTCTTTCTCTTTAGATAGTTCACTTATTTGTCAGTCTATAAGAGATTCAAGCTTTTCTCTCTAGAGAGATATCTTCTCATGATCAACTTTTTCAAATTTAAAGAAGAAAATTGATTTTTAATCAGTGATTATAGTCTGTACAGTTGAGAAGGCATTTTCTTTGAAGAATTATTTTCATTTCAATCAAGAAATCTGTTCCAATTCAGTTGATTTCCAGAGTTAATTAATGAAAATGAAGAAGAGACTCTTTCTCTGATTATATAATTTAAGCTCATCTTTATAACTCTCAGAGCATAGTTCATACAGGCCTTTTTAAATCTAATAGCAGAAGAGAGAATTGAAGCTTCAATTTCCATTGCTTTAATAGAAGAAGTTCAAGATTCATTTAATTATTATGAATCTGACTATTTCTAAGTCTTTTTAAAGCAGCTTGACTATCAGAGAATATTCATATCTCTTTTAAACTATTTTCTCTTTTATGAGATTTTATTTCAATGAGTTTGAAAGCTTTCACTATTGCAAATAGTTCAGCAGTAAAGACTTTAGATTCACAGCCTAAATTTCAGAAATCTGAGATAAAATTAATATTATCTTCAGTATAAGCAATGCCTGCATCTAATCTATTCAAATTCTCATTTTTTAAGTCATTTGAATAAATCAGAATAGAGTCTTCTATATTGATTATAGAAATTCCCTTCAAATGCTTTTTATATTCTTTCTCTTTAGATAGTTCACTTATTTATAAGTCTATAAGAGATTCAAGCTTTTCTCTTCAGAGAGATATCTTCTCATAATCAACTTTTTTAATATTTAAAGAAGAAAATTGATTTTTAATCTGTGAGCATAGTCTGTATAGTTGAAAAGACATTTGTTTTAAAGAATTATTTTCATTTCAATCAAGAAATATATTTCAATCTAGTTTATTTCCAGAGTTAATTGATGAAAAGGAAGAAGAGACTCTTTCTCTGATTATATAATTTAAGCTCATCTTTATAACTCTCAGAGTATAGTTTATACAGGTCTTTTCAAATCTAATAATAGAAGAGAGAATTGAAGCTTCAATTTTCATTGCTTTAATAGAAGATGATTTAAATGCTCTCAGAATTCTGCTCAAAGCTCTGTTTTGCAGACTTTAAAAGAGTTCAGTGAAATTTTCTTGATTATTTTATTAAACTTAAACTTCATAATCAGCTACTGAGATAATACAGGCTATATATAACTGTCTCATAGCCTGGAAGAATAGATCTCTCTCTGTATTTAATAGTCTGATTATATTTTTCAATAGTCTTTCTGTCTTGATAGTTCTTTATTGAATATGATATTTAAAACTCAACTTAGAGTTTAATCATACTTCTAATTATTTAACATTTAAACTGGGTTTAATCTCTCTATTTAAAAGAGTTAAGTATAGTTCTTTATCATTGAATCTAGAAAAGAAATGAATTAACTCAGTTTTATTCATATTAAATTGAATTTAATTAATATCTACTCTAATAAAGATTCTCTTTACTGCTTTTTTAATCACTTTCAAATTCTCTCTGCTTATTTTTAAGCTGTAGACTAGATCAATATCATTCACATAACTCAGAGATTATACTATTTTCATATCTTTGTTTTTGAATAGATATACAGTGTATATTGCAAATAAAATGAGTGATATTGAAGATTCTTACAGTACTTCTATTTTTATCTCAGTCTTGTCTTATTTTATTCTATCAAAGAATAGTTATATGATTCTTTTAGATATAAAACAGTTAACTCATTTTATTAGAGAAAGTGACAGTTTTAATATCTTCAAAGTCTGAATTAACTTTGACTTTGAAACATGATTAAATGCTTCTTTAATATCAATAAAAACTGCAGTTGAGATCAGATCTTCATACTTTGTTATTTAAATATCATGAATAACTGAGAGAATAGTGTCAATTGCAGAATATTGCTTTCTATCTCTCATTTATACACTGAATAAAAGAGAATCATCAATAGAGCTTATAAAAGATAGTTGAGTAGCTGTTATCTTTTCTAAAACCTTTTCTAGACAGTTTAATAGAGATATTACTCTATATAACTTAGTAATTGAAGTTTCTCTATTAGGTTTTACAAGAATCACTTCAGTGACTTCTCTTTAGCATTCAGAATGATATTCATTTTTCAAGAGATTGAAAAAGAGCTCAAAATATTCATTCTTCAAGTAGAAGTATATATTTTAAATAATTAAGTACTTGATTGAATCAGGCTCAGCAGCAGTTCTAACTGAACTTGAGAAAATAGCTCACTCAAATTTATCTTATATAAGCTCACATCATTCTCAGTTATTTTCATTAATATAGTTGTAATGTGATATATTCTCTTTCTCTTTCTCTGAATCTGATGAGTTTTGAAAGAGAATTCTCATAAAAGCTTAATATTTTTTCCCAAAAGAATTTGCTGTATATAATTCATTCTGAAACTCATATTCTAAGATTGAAAGTTTTGCTACACTTCTTGTTTTAGTATAGTTAAAAGTGTTAAAAACTTTCTTTTCTTATACTTCTTTAAGAAATTTATTTCAGCAGTCTGTTTTAGCTCTTTTAATATCTGAAAAATATTCATTTCTGACAGCTTTGTACTCTTTATCAGATATTACATCATTCTTTCAATCTCTTCTAATAGTAGCTAATTATTTTCTTTTAGATATGATATTCTTATTTCATTAAGATTTGAAATACTCAGAAGACTTTCACTTTGAAATATTATCTCTAACACTTGTTAGAATAATAGATGTAATAAGCTTCACTCTATTCTCAAGCATTTCATTTGAGATATCTTGATCTGAATTTCAATATAGCTCACTCTGCTTTTCAGATTTTAATAGTTTTATACTTTCTTCAACTGCTTTTCAATCAGCTTTGTCAAAGTTAAACTGATTAGAGAGAAGAGAATTTTCACTTATTTATTTTTCACTCAGTTCAATATTAAATTGAATAATCTCATAATCTGATTCTGATGTCTCATTTTAATTAATAAATCAGTTTACAAGTCTTTTTTTTATTAGATTTTATAATATGAAGATTAGATCTATAATAGATTTCTGTTTTATATCTTTTCTAAAGAATGTTTATTGATCAGACTTGTTAACTAAATCTATTAAATGTTCAAAGATTTATTCAATCAGATTGTCTACTCTTAATACTCTTTTACATTCTGAATTTCATCAGAGATGATGTGTATTAAAATCTTCTATAATTATAGAGTGTCTTAGTGAAGTTATATTCAGAAATCCTCTATTAATTGTTCAGATATTGTTATTTTTTTTCAATGACTTTTCATTATAGATATTTATGAGCTGTATAGTATCAAACTCAATCTCTTTATCTATAATATGACTCATCAGAATATCATGGTCAGACATGATATTAAATCTTAGATTAAATTAATATCTTGATCTCTTTCTTTCATAGATCACTACTCTTGACTTTATCTCAGACTTTTGAGATAGAAAGCAGTAGTAGCTTGAATGAGAAATGATGTATTTTTACTCAGTATCAAAATCCAGTTTCTGAAGCAGTATAAAATTCACTTTTTATTCAAATGTAATTTGAAGACAAGAATAAATACAATTTGAGTTTCTATTCATATAATTTTGAATAAATGTGATTTTTGAACAGTTTTTAAACTTTTTTTTTATTGTTTTTGTTGTATATTCATACTAGAAGAGAGTAGAGATAGAGTAGAATCTAATAACTATCATCAGATAGTAGATTATAACTATTTTGAAAAGTAGAAATCTCAACTGCTTGCATTATATCTAGTTTATTATCAGAGTCATTTCTCAATTCTCTAATCTTAATAGAAGTTTGAGAATTCAAATTCTGTTTATATTTAGCTGAAGAATTGAAGTTTGAAGATTTAGATAGTTGAGAGTCTCTTCTTTTTAAGCTTGTAGTTGTAGATTTACTATCTTGACTATTCTCTTCTGTTCTAGATTGACTTTAAGCTTTATCTTTTCTCCAGTTCTTTTGAGTTCTTGAAGTAAATATACATTCTTTTGAGCTGAATGCATGTTTTTCTTTGCAATTAGAGCATTTAAGCAGAGTATATTGACATATTTCATCTCTTTTTAAGCATGATTCACATTTATGCTCACTAGTTTTATAATCTCTAGCACAGAATGCATATTTTAAGTCTCTAAAATAAAAGATTACAAAGTATTCATATCTTTGACAGTTTGAGCACTGTATTTAAGCTTTGAGATTCATTCTTGAGTCTTTGTATTCATGAACTCTTATTTTCATATCTTCTACTCTTACTTCAGAGATATTTGACTGTTGAAGTGTTTTTGTATATACTAGAATAGAGACATTTCTTCTGCTTTGTCTGAACTCAATTGAATTTAGTCATACAGGCTCTTTTCTCAGTTAAATAGAGTTGTATTCTTCTAATTCATTTTTGAGAAGTAGCACTTCTTCTTCACAGTCAAAAATTTCAACTGGAATATTATAAAGAATGAATTTGTGTAAGAATAAGTACTCGCAGGCGATTATTCGGGTGTTTGCAGCTTGGCGTGATATGTACTGTTAACTACTAGAAGTATTCACAGTAGAAAGATAAAATGTAGAAGTCAAATGTATAATAGTATTCAAGCTGAGTTATGAATAGTATTCATGAACTTCAGTCTATATAGTTGTGTATAGTCAAGAGCTGCTAACTCTATTGATTACACAAGAGATAGAAACAGAGATAAAGAATCTGCAAGAAGTGAGATTTCTTACATACTCTTCTCTCTCTAAGACTTTGTTCATAAAGCCTTTCACTGAGTGATTTCATAGAATCAGGCTTAGCACTGCAGTGATACTTACTAAAAATCCTTTATAGATATAAAAAAAAAAACCTCAGTGAGAAAAAATCCCTTGTTATTACAAAGAGAAAAGAGTCTGTTACTCAGTTTCTTATTCTGTGAGGTTCTTTATAGCCTGCAGATCTTTCTCTGACTATCATACAGATTCATCTCACATCTTTTATATAGAAGAGTTCTGGTTGACTCTCAATCATTTTCATAAGATTCTTGTGTGATTATTACACAGATTCATTCTGCAGGTGAATCACTTTCTGTGAGATTATTCTCATTAAAGAGAAATATTTGTGAGTTGATCTTTCACTTATTCTTATAAATCATCATTCTTTGACACTGTAGAATTGTAAGGAATTTTTCATTCTTTCATCAACTCTGTAGAATTGTAGAATCAAGATATCTACAGTCTGCAATCACTCTTTGTAGTTATATAGAAAGATTCAGACCTGTGATTCATAATCACTCTTTATTTACTAGAGTGATCTGACTGTTCTGTGAGATTATTCACAGTGTAAATAAATCTCTTTAAAGTATTATAAATACTTCAGATCTGTCTGTGAAATCTCATCTTCTTTTCTCTTTTTCTATAACAGCTCTTATTTTTATAAAGTGTGAGTATTCTCATTCATCTGTAAAATGTTTTCACTCAGATAACAGAGACAGAGTATTTCTGACAATATCTGTATATTGATTCAAGAACTTTTTAAGAATAAATTTTTTTTTCAATTTTAATATCTTTATAAATAATATCTGACTGCTGCTGAGCTTCTTATGAGCATTTCTGTAACTTTTCTGATTACTTTTTACTGGCTGGTGAAGCAGAGGCATCACTGCTTATTACTGTATCTTTATTTATCTCAGTCTTATCACTGCATCTGATCTTCAGATTAGTAGTCAATCTCATATCTCTCTCAGATCAGTTTCTGACTTTAGACAGCATAGTTCTGTTCTTTACTATAAGTCTCTCTGTAAGTAATTTCTTACAGACTCTAGCTAATAGTTTCTGTAAAGCTCTCAGTGCTGTCAGTGTCTTCTATGACTCTGCAGGTCTATAATCACTTCTCTTCTACTCACACAATCTCTGATCAGATATATGTAAATATGTCTAGATTCTCTATCAATGATTCTCACACTGCAGTGCATTTTCATAATTTGATTGTCAATAAGAGATGAGTTCCCAGATACTTATAAAATTCAGATAATTAAGATAATATAAATATCATGAATTTGTAACAGAAGTTAATCTGAGTAGATGAGCTCTCTCTTCATATCTCAATTATTTTCAGACTGAATACTTCAGTATAACTGAGAAAGTGAATACAGCTTCATAAGAAGTATCTGATTATATACACAGTTAATCAGCTCTCAAGATTCTACTGCAACTGTGTATACTCTGATATTCAGCTTTTCTAAAGTCTGTGCATTTCTGACAGTCTTTATATTAAATATAATAATTATCTGTACTGTGAGCATGATACTCTCTGCTTCTTTGAAGAAAAGAATTGATAGTTACAGAAGAGTTAAGTGTTACAGATATTAAGAATATAAGTGTGAATTTTCTTTGTTTTTTCTGTATTAATCTCTAAATTGTGTTCACAGTTCTGTTTTTATTTTCTTTATTTTTTAGCTTTAATGAGAATATGATTTCTTCTTCTCTTTGTATATGCTGTGAACTGTTCATCTCAGTAGAAACTCATTATCTTATAAACTAGAGTTTATAAATGACAGTATTAATATCTTTATTATAATCAGATTCTTAGTAAAGACTGTATTATTCTGACTTATCAGAATTCACAGTATGAAAGTCATGTCTCAGCTTTCACAGATATCTGATCTGCTCAGATAATTCTTAAGTAAACTTATTCATCTTATCAGAAAATTCTTATCACTGAATCTTGAATCAGAGCTTATAATCTTGCTTCTCTGAGTTAATAATCTCTTTGATCTAATATTCTCTTTCACTCTCTAGTACTTTATAAATAGAGTGATAAGTCACAGAATTCTCTTCTAAGAATTTCTTATATTTACAGAGTAAAGAGACATGAAAAATATTATATATTTACAACTCAGATAACAGTTTCAACCTATAGAACTGTAAACTAACTTTCTTCATAATCTTATAAGACTCTGTTCATAAGAGATTCAGCTTCTTACTAGTTCTTCATATAATAATGTTTTCTAAACTTAGTTAGACTCTATCATCTTTCTTGAAACTCTTTATAATATACTTGAAGTCATAATATCTCTTCTGATACTCTTGAGTCTTTCTCAAGAATTCACAGACTTTCTCTCAGATATTCTGAATTCTCTTAGTCTGTTCACAGACATTATCACACTCTATAATATACTCTCACAGATTCATTAAGATTATCTGTGAGTAAGTCTCAGTAAGTATCTCAAAGAGGGTTTTATCTGTGCTGATATGCTTTGAGTTGTTATATATGAACTCTGTGAGTGATAATTAATACACTTAGTTATTTGATTGTAATTGATAAAGCACTGCAGATACTGTTTTAATATACTTATCAGACATTCTATCTAATCATCTATCTATTGATGAAAAGCTGTGCTTAGATCTTACAAGATCTTCAGTATAATTATCAGATCAGATCAGAACTCTCTCACAAATATTAATTCCCTGTCTGAGATAATATTTACAGACAATTCATACAACTGAATCATATCATGAACAAAGATATAAGTAAAATCCTTTAACTTTAAGTTCTTGTGAGTGAGTATAAAGTGTGTTATCTTGATAAAGTAATCTACTATTATGAGCACACTGTCAAAGCAGGTATCATATGTATTCTTACTTTTAGAGAGACTTATAAGAGTATTCATTTCTAGCTATTCTCAAGGTTTTTACAGAATGAGTAGAGAAGTAAGTTCTTTATATAATCTGAACTACACTATCTGTGAATTCTGATAAATAGTATAAGAATTCACTCTCTTCTTTACAAGTTCTTATATCTTCAGTCAGAAGTATTTTCTTATAAGTAACTTATGACTTTTAGTGTCTGTAAAATGATCTGCTAGAGAAGAGTTATGATATCTTTTAATAAGTTCTATATATAGAAACTCATTCATAGAGATATAAATTCAGTTCTCTCTTTATAAGAGATTATTTAAGTCTCTTTAATTCTTTATTTCTGTAGAATTAATTTCTGCTATGAGCAGTTGCTGAATATACTGAGTATATTCATTCTGCAGTTACAGTTCAGACAATCTGAACAGAAGATCTTTTAAAGACTTATACTCTGTTTTCTCTTATATCAGATCTTTCATAATGCTTCTCAAAGTCTGTAAACTCTTCAGATTATAGATACTCTCTTCAAGAATTCTTATAAAGATTCTCAGAGTGTTAACTCTCAGTGTTATAGAGAGTAGTTATATAGACTTCTTTTCTCTCTTCTCTCTCTTCTCTTATAAAGAATTGAGAGACTCTTCAGTCAATTTCTTTATAATACTCAGTCTAAGCATTCTGTGAAGCTTTTCTGTCTTCTCTAGTCTCTCTGTGTCTGTTATTCTGGTCTTCTTAATATAGTCAGATCTGTGAGAGAGTTCATCTGCTGAGTTCTTAGTTCTCTTAATATACTCTATCTTGAATCAGAATTCACTCAGTCTCTGAGCTCAGTGAATCTGCTGCTATGAGAGTTTCTTGATTAAAGTAAACTGTTAAAAGCTGTCATGATCAGTTTTAACAGTAATCACTGTTATAAGACTCTTAAATTAGTGATATCAGTGATGAAAGAATTTCACTATCATGAAAAGCTTCTGATTATAGATGTTATAGTTGATCTCTGCAGATTGCATCTTTTATAAGAAAAAGATCACTGAAACTCAGTTCTCATTTAACTGTAGTTATGAGACTATTTCTGAAATTGTAAAGAAGAAGACATCTGTCTTCAATCTGATTAAGAGTAAGAGATCAAAGTGAAACAGTATCACTGTATCTGTAAATATCTATTTTAATCTTATAAAGATCTCATAAGCTTCTGAAATAAGAAAGTTCTCACAGTTCTTTCTTCTTAATAATCTTTTCATTCTTTATTTACAGAATAACTTCTTATTTTTATTCTTCAGTATGTTTGTAAGAGTCAAGAAGATTATTATAAATACAAAAATAAATCATCTATAGAAATTCACAAAGCTTAGAAAGATCTTAATCTCATGAATACTAGTTAACTCTGACTTTGATAGAATAGTCTTAATTTATGAAGATTTCATCTGAATATTATCTGTGATAATGACATATTCTAGAAAATTAATTTAACAGATACTGAAGTTGTACTTCATGAGCTTAATATATAGTTCTGTCTTATCTAAGGTCTTTAACATAGTTTATACATACTCAGTGTGTTCTTTCTTCTTCACAGAGTACAT